GGTGGTCCCCCTCTTTACGTGGCCTCAACGTGCACATAGCCTGGCACAAGCGTCGTGGTGACGTCACCGCCACTTAGTGGCGAATGGCGGTTGTTGTTGTTGTCCTTCCCTCCGCACCTCCGATTAGCACGGTTGGCGACGTATGGTGCGAAATAAGTTAAACTTTTTATATCACCTGCATAAGAGTGTGCATTGCCAGGCGAATAATAATCCTTGAGAGCTGGAGTAAGCGGAATTAAACAACAATCCACAAATGTATACAATGGCTATTAAATCTGCACGGTTTAGAGCCAGATTTGATCTAGTCTGATATAATGGAACCCAATTCAATCCAATCCCATCCCATGCAGGTTCTTTTCTGGATCGGATTGATCAGCAGCACATTCTGATCGCAAACGGGTATTTTCATCACAAGTGTAATCCCCCCGCCCCACCGCAGCATGTGTGCTGTTGTGAGTGTAGCTGGCTCAAATGCTCCCTATTGGAATCAAAGTTCCCAGGTTTAGTTTCCAAGTGAGTGAAGTGTATGCATTTTTTACTGGTAGGAACCTCCTGGTTACACCAGCCCACAGGGGATTATTGTGTCCGTCCGTCGTGCATCCAAAAATGGGGGGGGGGTGGGGCTGGGTGGAGAGGGGAGGGTGAGGAGGGGCTGGGTGGGGAGGGAGGGGCTGGGTGGGGAGGGTGGGGAGGGGCTGGTTGGGGAGGGTGGGGCTGGGTGGGGGGTGGGAGGTGTGGGGCTGGGTGGGGAGGGGCTGGTCACCCCGTGGTGCCCTTATAAAACTCAATGTTTAACCTTCTCACGTCGGCTTGTGCCCGCCCTCACAGTCGGGCATATTTGCGGAATACACCATGCCGCCGTTGACCCTGGCCACTGACCGAGCAACCCAACGTTCCTACCAGCTCCCTCCGCAGGAATCTGTTTTATATAGTAAAAACTGTATTTCGCATGTTCTAATAATATGAATTTTACGAATAAAATATTGTAAAGAAGCGTTTTACCCCCTTTTACACTGTTTATAAGCACATAAACTACACTTGGGAATTAAGCTCAGCAGCACCTTGTGATTCAGCAGGAGGGAGGTCGGTGTGTAACCCCGTACACTCCAGTGGCTCTGGCTATTGGGGGCGGCTGTTAATGGCCGTGCGGGCCGGTAAGCGCATCAGCCGATTAGGATGAGAACCGATCACAGGGGTGACATTCCCATTCCATGCACCCTTGCTCCGATCATTCCATCTGATCCTTTATTTTAAATAGTAATTTAATTTTGTAATCCTAAAACTGAATACATGTGTACGAAGTCTATGTATGGATGCAATTTCAGGTATGAAAATGTTTTTGTTCTGCTTCCAATGTTTTGCCTAAAATCTTTATATTCATGAAACTGAAGCATGCCCTGAATTCACGTGTTCTTATGGGACATGTTACGAGATAAAACATATTATGACGGTGTATTTTTCCAATATCAACACCAAAGATGTAATCGTAGCTGCAAGTATTGGCATCTTGCCCTTTTACGTCTTGCTGCTCTTGATATGTCAGTCCTAGCTGTTACCCTGACAGTCTGTAATGCTGATAACAGGCTTCTTTGAACTTGATTTGAAGCTTTCGTGACTGCAGGAATTACTCTTTGGTTATTTCGGTAAAGTCAAGTAGAAATAAAATAAATTAAATAATAGAATGCGACGTTTTGATTGCAACACAAGATTATGTATCTCTATAAGATCTCTATTTAAGGCCTCGACACAGAGGCATTGGGTCTCTGTGCGTCTATGTTGTGTGTCTCTCTCTAATAAACTAAACCATTTTTTTTTTATGTAAGCAAAGTAAGTCCCACTGAGCTTTAGCTATAGCTCAGTGGGACATAGCTCTTTTTTTAGAAGCGACCTGACCGTCACAAATGAAAGCTCAACGAAGCGGCTTATCATGTGGACGTTTATAGCAGCAGTCAAGGGCGGAGCTACAGGGGGGGGCTGGGGGGGGGCTTAGCCCCCCCTGAAATTTTGGAAAAGTCGGTAATCGGGATAACCGGATATCCGGCTGCTGCAAAATGCTGCAGGCTGCCACCTCGTGCTGCCCTGCAGGTTGCCACCTTGTGCTGCCCTGCAGGCTGCCACCTTGTGTGCTGCCCTGCAGGTTGCCACCTTGTGTGCTGCCCTGCAGGCTGCCACCTTGTGTGCTGCCCTGCAGGCTGCTTGAGCGGCAGCCTTTAGAACTTATCGAACTTATTATCCACATCAGCGGTTCCGACCTATTAATAAACTCTGCGTTCAAATCCAATAAAATTTGTTTTATACATTTGTGGCGTCCATTGAAAAAACACACACTGGATATCTCAGAATATTGAAGTCAGCCCCCCCAAAGTCAAACTCCTGGCTCCACCCCTTGTCTCTCTGTGTGTTTCTGTGTTGTCTCTCTCTGCTTGTGTGTCTGTCTGTGTGTCTCTGTGTTGTCTCTCTCTGCTTGTGTGTCTGTGTGTCTCCGTGTCTGTGTTTTGTCTCTCTCTCAAATGTAGTTCTCCCTGATGACGGTTGCTTGTGTTGCAATCGAAACGTTGTATTCTATTATTTAATTTAATTTATTTCTACGTGACGTTACCGAAAGAACCAAAGAGTGTTCTTTGACTTTGTCTATCGTCTGGATGATTGTTTGGCTAAGGATGTGTGGTCTGTGTTTATTACAGGTGACTGAAACAAATATTTATAGAACTCCTACGAACAATCTGGTGACCCAATCCACTCTGGTAAATTGGTTTGATCCAAATCGGAATTGAGTGGAATGCTTGCCTCAAGGAAACATGTAATTACGTTTCCATCGTAACCAATCATAATATTACAACAACAACAACAATATATCTAAACAAATGTGTTTCTTTTGATATTGTGATAAACATTTGATTTGTAACAACAACAACAATATATCTAAACAAATGTGTTTCTTTTGATATTGTGATAAACATTTGATTTGTAACAATAAATACACATGTAAATAAATTGTGTGTGGGTTTAAATGTCCACAGTACAGTGGAACGTTGCTAAAAAAAAATGGTAAGGAATGAATTGCAGATGGTTAATGCTAGATTTGAAGTTTTCGTGACTGCAAGGATCCATACTCTTTGGTTCTTTCGGTAAAGTCACGTAGATGAAAAATACAAAAAATAATATACCACACTTTCCCACCTGATGACGGACGCTTGTGTTGTGCCCGAAACGTCGTGATTGAATTGAGTTATTTTCATTTTATTAATTTCATTATTATTATTTTTCATCTACGTGACTTTACCGAAACAACCAAAGAGTATGCAGGAGATGGTTATACATTTCGATTTGTTTTAACCGAAGGACACTTTTGGTGTGGATAGTTGAGGGGTAAGGAGTCACAAACCACGGGAGCAACACAGCATACGTAGTGGCCACCTGTTGAGCAAACAATGAGCCAGGGGATGTAGAGAAGGGAGAAGCTTCTGGAATGTAGAGTTGGATGGAGGTTATCCACGTGTGGAGGTGGGAAGGTTGTAAGAGACGCATCGCTAAACACACCTCCGATTATAATGGTTGGCTATGTGCGGTGTGAAAGAAGTTCAACATACATGTGCAATCACAATCCCAAGCACCCTGCCTTAATCTGTTTTGTCACAGGAGCGATCTGAGATGGGTCAATACAGTTTTATGTTTTATTTTGGCACAGCTAAAACCCATTCGGCAATAAATGCTAATTTTCGATGGAGATCCTCAGTACAACAAAAACACGTGAATAGAGCAATACAAAAACAACTTTACACGGTCAAGTTCTGAATGTGAACTGCTAAGATTTTTACAGCACATGACACAAATGTGGGTAAATAAAAACAAAAAATAATAACTATAAATTAACATTCTAGATTTGAAGTTTTCGTGACTGCAAGGATCCATACTCTTTGGTTCTTTCGGTAAAGTCACATAGGCAAATATGTTTTAAATCTTTATTTATTTATTTTTTCACCTACGTGACTTTACCGAAAGAACCAAAGAGTGTAAATTAACAACCAATTTTATATTAAATTAGCCAAGCAATACATATTTTAACATGTGAATACCAATAAAGACAAATTCATATGAACAATATTGTTAACAGAACTACAAATATTCGTAGCTCTTTCGGTAAAGTCACGTTGAAGGGAAACAATAAAATAAGAAAATATATAAAACAATAAAAAAATTCTCACGACGTTTCGACCATAACGCAAACGGTCGTCATCAGGTGTGTCGGTTTGCATAAATTTATTTATTTTCAAACGGTTAATTTCTTTATTTATAAAAACCGTCAGCGCCACGCACAGCGATTTGGCAGTTTATTTAGAAGGACTAGTCCATCTATGTTCTGAAAAGAGGAGGGGGGAGACGAAAAATTCATGTATGCTGTCTGAAAGCCACTGTAAGCGTGAACAATCAATTAAGACCTGAAATGGTTTATCAAATCTTTCCAATGATCCAATGATTGGAAAGATTTGATAAACCATTTCAGGTCTTAATTGATTGTTCACGCTTGCAGTGACTTTCAGACAGCATACATGAATTTTTCGTCTCCCCCCTCCTATTTTCAGAACATAGATGGACTCGTCCTTCTAAATAAACTGACAAATCGCTGCGCGTGGCGCTGACGGTTTTTATAAATAAAGAAATACACCGTTTAAAAATAAATAAATTTATGCAAACCGACACACCTGATGACGACCGTTTGTGTTATGGTCGAAACGTCGTGAGAATTTTTTATTGTTTTATATATTTTTTATTATTTTATTGTTTCCCTTCAACGTGACTTTACCGAAAGAGCTAAGAATATGAATTACTGCAGTCACGAAAGCTTTAAATCAGAACTATAAATATTCAAAAATAAAGACGCTTAAATATCTGATGCTTTTTTTTCTTCCTGGCTCCTTCTGTTACCCGATCTCTCCGCTGTGCTCCCGCATCTGCCTCCTCCACGGACCTCATCCTCCTTCTGCTCCTCCTCCTCCCAGCTGTTGACGAGTACCTGGAGTTACAGAGACAGTGGAAGACACCCCGCTGCAGTCGCCCCTTGCACACAGACAGCTCCCATAGGTGCGGTACATCTGCGTTCCATCCTCACCTGAGCAGATGTTCAAATAATTAGAAAACTCATTCATTTAGAGCTGCTATTGGTGGCTTTGGTTTGTTGTCCTTCCCCCGCACCTCCGATTAGCACGGTTGGCAACGTACGATGCGAATGAGGCTCAACGTACATACGTGCAACAATCTATCTTTTAAGGTTCGTGAAGGACTATTGTATACCCTGTCTTTTGTCAATCTAAACGCTATTAAAATACAAATGTAAAATTGTGCGATTAATGTAGGGGTTAGTTATCCCTGTATATGTCAAGTTTAAGACACACATATACAGTTAGCCATGTTACTCAACGCCAAAACTTTGAGTGCAGGCTCTGTGGACTTGTATGCCAGTACATATATGTAAAATGAGTGTCTGCACGTTTGTGTGGCTCCATACACGTGTGCGCTTGTGTGTGTGCGTGCTGTGCGTTTCTGCGTGGCAGCAGGAGTAAGCGCTCGGCCAGCTATCCAGTGAGCAAGGAGCGCCTCGTGTCGCTACTGCCCAGTGGTACGCAATGTTTGTGTGTCGCTGCACGCTGAAATCTTAGTGACACGCTGATTAATCACAAGCGACAGCTGTTGCATGTAAAGTGAGCGGCCCGCAATTCTTCAGGTTGCGAGTTCAAAACAAGGTCGGGGTTTAACCAGCCCATCACATCTTTTGGGATCGATCAAATATTGAGGATCACTTCTTGGGGAAGTCAACAGTGGTTGTCCTATGGATAGCAAAGTCCCCGCCATAGGATTGTAAAGTTTCCATCACTTTCTGAGGATTGTAAAGAGGAGTTGAGCACCGCCCCAGTGATAATTTGGCCAAGAAATTACATTTACCCGACTTTTATTTAACGACTGGAAGATGTTCATATGTTGGCCCTAGACAAGCCTGAAGAATCTGTGGCTAGTTACCTAACATTGCTTTAAAAGTGACATTTCCTTTGAGTTCATGCTGATTTACATGATAAACTAAGGGAAAATATCACTTCAGATATTTTATGCGACTGATCACTGACCGGTATAAAAATAAGTTCAGGCTCATGAGCAAGTGCCTGGGTGCATGTCGGATGCTGTCTATGTGTAATGCAAATCTACGATGAATTGTCCATTTTGGTATGTCTTATCAACGGATGGTCATCCGTTCATCCACATTGGACTGAATCAATAGGCACGTGCGGAAGATGTGTTAGAAATGAAGAGTAGGCCCATCCTGATAGTGGTTGGGTGAGCCACACTCAACCCTGGTTGAATGTGAATAAAGAAAGCCACCAAATGATTATAGCCACAAAAACTACTCAAAGTGAAGTCGAAACACTAAAACATTGAAATCTACATTTATCTGTATTTCACAATTCATAAGCAGTCTAAGAACACTGCAACAGGGACCGCCAGGAGGGTAATGACATCATCCAAGCCTGTTAAGAAAAGTAAGTGGGCATGGGCAGAACATGTCGCTACAAGGGATGAATGATACCACAATGGCAGCCAAGGAAAGGAACAAATCCGAGTGGATATCCACCGAGGCGATGGAGCAGTGAAATCAGTTGATGTTTGGGTGCTGAGTGGATTGTTACATCGCAAGATCGTGAGAGTTGGCATCTGTTTGGTGGAGGCCTTCATCTAGCAGTGAAATTAATCATGGTTGATCATTGATAATGTGTTTTTTTAGCTTCAATGAAGTTATATGCTGCATGCGCAATCATAGTGACACTCTTTCGATGGGCACAGGAGTGAGTTTTTCAATTGGGCACAGGAGCTCTTTGAGTAAGGACTCCTGAAAAAAAGGCACACTCCCTTTCCTAGTACTGTGATCAATCAATGACCGATGTATATTCAGCTGAAATTTGTTTTCTTGATTTAAATTATTTTATATCAATGACATCAATTTAAAACTGCACATCTGAGTGTCCCATTTCATTTGATTGCTTTGGGACGGGCCCTGCGGTTACGGTGTGAGTCAGCCTCTTCGTGGCAAGCAGTTGAAGGGAGGCGATGCATGCAGAAGTGCCTTCGCTCAGCTGTCAAATCGTTTCCATAGCGAGCGGCTGGCGGAACGTCACCCAAAGGGACTTGGCGTGTGCCCTTGTCCCTCGTGGTGTTTGCACAGTGATGTCGTGAGCTTGAGTAGATGCACGTTGTGGTTGAGGTTTGCGTGATGGGATCATGGTAAATCCACAACCGGCCAGAAGCCCTTGTAAACCACCTCCACGCTCCTGTGCGCAGAATGCTGGGTCCTAACTTGACAAATTCTGACTCTGCACTGATATTGCATGTCCGGGCCATGTGCTCATGATGCGGTGCACTTTGCCAAGTTTAATTCTCAGTTTAAGATTTTTTTTACGCGGGTCTTTTTGCATCGCTGATCTGTTCTGAAAATTGAAGGTTTATTTCACACATACGCAACTTTTGTTACGCGAGCGTTTTGTTAAAACATGCGTCTCAAATGTTTGTGTTGCGGGTTTTTGTTTCCAGTTTCAGAGCTGAGAAAATTGTTTGAAAGCGGACAGATTTACAACATGAATAGGTAAAGTTTTTTTTTTAAATACATATGTATCCTGTAACTTAATTTGTTCATTGAAACTTCGTTACGTGTTTGTCCCTTAGGCTCTGCATTTTTCATCTCACACTTTTTTCGGTCCCAAAAATATACATTGACGCTGCTAAATGCTCCTGATAAAAGTGCCCCGCTGATTTGTGTTATCGTCGTACATTAATAATTTAAAAAAAAGCTCTATCCCTAACGTACATTTGCCATGTCATTTCTACTTCCTCTTGTTTTGGGATTATTTTTTAAAGGCACGATATATGTGCGGCGATGGGTTGGAACATCTCGCTTGTGAGTTGAGCGGCAGCTTCTCGGACTGCTTCTCTCGCTCAGTCTCACTCGGTGGCGATCGCTTTGCGTTTTTTTGTTCATGTAAGCCCTTGCCACTGCTCATACGTGCATGTGTTCACATGTGCGTGTAGAGTGATTGCACAAGCAATCACTGCATGCGTTTGCGCTCATGCATAATGTTGCATGGTGGAGCGTTTGTGTGCGGGGTTACACGTGTGTGCGTGCGCTGCAGGAGAGAACGCCTGTCGCGCCGCGTGGATGCCATGGCTGACGAGGAGAACGTGAGGCCCAGGGTGTTCACCAGGCCGGTGCCGGAAGGGGAGGGCTCAACTCGACGTGCGGCAGCTTCCCCCACATCCGCCTGTGTGGACCACACCAACGGATTCGGTATTGCACGCATGCGTGCATGCTCAAGCCTTCCGTGTGTGCGACGTCCACCGTGATTGGAGCGCTATGATATACATACTGCTTTGAAATGTTATTAAAATATTTGTCAACATATTTTGGGTGTTTATTCGACTACTTGTAATTCGGGCTTGAGAGTGTTAATGAGTGTTCTGTAATTATAACGCAGAGCGTCCTTGCTCATTTCCAGTATAATTTACAAAATGAATCCTGGTATACTCTTTGTTTTTTTCTTCGGTAAAGTCACATATGTAGAAATAAAAAATAAAATTTTACTAAATTAAATTAAAATTTATTTAGTGAATTTTTTTTTTTATTTCTACATACTTGACTTTACCGAAAAAACCAATGAGTATAGTAATTTCTGCAGTCACGAAAGCTTCAATTCTATATGAATCCTGGTATCTTAACTGCCAACTTCATAAATGCCACGTCAAATTTCAAGTTTATTTTTTTTAACCAGGTGAGAATTTAAATGACCAGGATAGACTCATTTGCAAATGTAACCCGGGTCACCAAAATGACAAATCACCACGAGTTTACCCAGCCATTTGGAGTTGGTCAGTGGGCACCGTCTGTGTTACCAAGCGAGAGTCCACTGAGACTCCTGTTATACGGGAGGTGTGAGATTAATACGAAGGACGATGGTATACTGCACGTATGAGAAAATGTGGCGTAAAGTCAGTGTGATATAAAAACCAAAAACTTTGGAAAGCAGGTGCGAAGCTTCCAAGGATGTGTGTTTTTTTAAAATGTGAATTCAAAATAAATATTTTAAATGTAACCTATACAAACTAGCATACTGTGTAAAATATAAAAAAAAATATCAAACTGTGAAAAGAAAATCACACAGTGTACAACGAGAAGGATGACTTCTTACAGCCCTTTTGGTAAAAATACTGCAGGTCACAACAGCACACTCACTCTCTCGCCACACTGCAAGTCACAACAGCACACTCACTCTGTCGCCACACTGCAGGTCACAACAGCACACTCACTCTCCCGCCACACTGCAGGTCACAACAGCACACTCACTCTCCCGCCACACTGCAGGTCACAACAGCACACTCACTCTCCCGCCACACTGCAGGTCACAACAGCACACTCACTCTGTCGCCACACTGCAGGTCACAACAGCACACTCACTCTCCCGCCACACTGCAGGTCACAACAGCACACTCACTCTCCCGCCACACTGCAGGTCACAACAGCACACTCACTCTCTCGCCACACTGCAGGTCACAACAGCACACTCACTCTCTCGCCACACTGCAGGTCACAACAGCACACTCACTCTCTCGCCACACTGCAGGTCACAACAGCACACTCACTCTCTCGCCACACTGCACGTCACAACAGCACACTCACTCTCTCGCCACACTGCAGGTCACAACAGCACACTCACTCTCCCGCCACACTGCAGGTCACAACAGCACACTCACTCTCTTGCCACACTACAGGTCACAACAGCACACTCACTCTCCCGCCACACTGCAGGTCACAACACTTGCTTTCTGCTTCTTCCATCGCACTGCTCCACTTTGAAATTCCCTCCCATCGTCATTTTTACTCAACTCATTCATAACCTTGCACAATTCAAGTTTTTTGGGTTAGATATTATGGATGATATTAGTTTCAAGAGCCTACGTGTTAAACTCCTATCAAATGACAACGTTGATAGTGCTGGTTGTTTCTGGCTGCTTGACGTTTTTGGCTTTTGGGCCCTGTGCTCAGCAATTGTGTTTTAAACAACAACAAAAAGATTGTGCTGGTTGTCACGATCTAAAAGGGGCCCAAGCCATCCAAATGATGAACTCAACTGCGACTAAAACTGCAAGGAAAATGTAAACTATGAATAACAATTGTGCTGGTTGTCGCTGCTGGCTTGTGCAGGTCAAAAGAGGGAGACTGAGAAGGGGCCGGAAACGAGGGAGGCGGCGCGTGAGCCGGATGATCGGAGCCAGCAAGTGGCGTCCACTCCCGGCGATGCTGAGTCACGAGCGGAGCGGATCGCGCGTTACAAGGCAGAGCGGCGCCGGCAGCTCGCTGAGAAGTACGGAGGAAGTGAAAGCGCGAGAACTCGTGGCCCCGACGCCGTTGAAACAGGGAGCGAACCACCTCGGGGAGCACGCTCACGTGCACGGGAATCTCATGTACGCAGGAGCTCGGATGACAATGAAGCAACTTTGGCAACGTCCACCGCAGGACTATCCTCGAGAAGGGGACAGCACCTTCCATCTCTTGATATCGATAGCAAAGTTAATGATAGCGCAGCTGGAGAAATAGCTCTTCAGGAAGATGCGGTTCGCACAAATAGACACGGACGGGTGATTCCCCACGATGCTGATCCTGCGGGGGGGGAGAGTTTGCTGGAGAACTACACTTCCACGGCGAAGTATTACTATCGACGGAGCCCAGGAGGAGGAGAAAGGAGGGTGCCAGCTTCTCTTATGACCAGTAATCAAAGTGAGATGGAACCAAATTTGACTTTTGAGCAGAAGCCGAGTGATGCGCGACAACCTGTAGCAAGGAGCCACAGCCTGGAGCCGAGCCAGAGCAGCCTGCGTCGTCCTTCTGCTCAGCTTGTCGGAGACACTGACCCCAAGGTCAACACAAGCCCCTCGGTGAACGCCCCCATACTGGATTCACCAAGCAGGTCTCATTCTGAGCTCTCGGCCTCTCCTTGCCCTGACTTGCTCAGCGCGGAAAGGTGAGCGTGCAAGGTTGTGATAAAGTTGTTCTCTTTGTGAAAACAATATAATCGGTTGTGCGGTGTGCTGTGTGTGTCGAGCTGTGTGGAGTCTAGCTGTGTGTATGGGACCGCTTCTGTGACGTAGAGTGACGTTTTCTTTATGGATTAGCATGTATTAGACGTGCAATGTTAAGGTTTGAAAAATGTGTGTCTGTTAATTTTGTGGTTCAAGTGTCTTCCATGCACAATGTGTCACGTTGTTTTATAATTATTTTTTACTGAATGATGTTCAACATCACTCGAACATTGAAGATGCTGGAGAAAAAAAAAAGCATTACAGCAATGAACAAAAACCAATACATAATTGGAAAAAGCAGCATAAAGTAAAATATACCATCACCTTTGGTCAAAGGCAGAATCACCGAGTGTATTCATGTATGAGAGTGCTGGTAGTAGTTGTGTGAGTGCTGACACGTTTGAATGTGCGTGCAGGACATAGGAGTGGAGTGTGTGTGCGCAGATGTATGCAGGATCACTGTTGTATTTGTGTACGTGGACGCGTGTGTCTACAATTGATGAGTTTGGTGTGTTTGCCTTCCACCCTGCCTATCAGTGGCTTGGGAGGGTCTAGCCGAGAATTTGCAGCATTGTGGATGCAGTGCTGCTTTAAAAGGCACTCGCTGAAGTTCTTTATTGTTTAATGTGAATGTAGATGGCAGTGTATTTATGTCCAGCAGGAGGTATGCCAATCTATAGTTATGCTAAACAGGACGCCACGGTGGCGAGATGTTAACTACTTCCCCTGGTATATAGGAGGACGTGGGTTCAATCCCGACCTTGACGCCTGCTGTATATTTGGAGTTTGCATGTTCTCCCCATGGTCGCGTGGATTTTCCTCCGGTTTTTCCCTCGACATTTAAAATCAACATGTGTTTAGGGTATTTGGCTGCTATACATTTTTCCACGTGGTAAGCCACTGCGTTTTGGACAGGTCACTTCTGAAACAGAGCTGTGTGGCTCAGTGGGTCTTACTTGGTACAATAAAAAAATAGTTTGAATAGTTTTTAACTAGAGAGGATATTCTGGGTTGTGTTAAGGGTTTGTTTACATTCCACTTTTATGTGTGTAACACTGACTTGCCATTAGATATCCATCTCGTTTTTTTTATATCCTGAACTCATTCTGCTTGGATGCCCCGATGGGCAATGTGCTCAATACAATAATAGTAATTTACAGTGCATCGTTATTATGTTCCACACATTACATCTTCATGTCCAGTGAGCCACCTCTAGCGAGTGGGAAGAGTTTATGAGAATAGCTGGAGGAGACTAATTGAGGAGTGGAGAATTCAGGGTGGAGAAATATGCACGTGAGATCCTGTGAAATACTACAACGAGTATGTTAGCTAGTGGACAGGGCAGCGGGTGTAACCATATCAACAATCATAATGCTTTGTTTTGGCAGTGGGTAATAAAATAATTAATAAATAGAGCGGTCTTTGACTGTATAACACTGATCGATGGGCCTAAAATACAATCAATTTTTTACGATTTAACAGACCTCTGCCTGTTTTGTTGTTGTTTTTGTTTTTATGACTCGCACTCAGCTGAATTGGCACGTGAATTTGTACGATTTTACACTGAGGGCCCTGCAGTATTGGAGAGGGCTCTTACATGTAACACAAGGAAATGCCACAGCATTTGTTTGAGGCCAAGACCATTTAGATGAGGTTCACAGATTTAGAACCAGGTCTTCAGTTGCCTGCTTATACAAACGTTGTTGTATGTTTGGGTGGTATCATTTGCAGATTGCTATTTAATTACAAAACATACCAAATGCGGCCTTGTTCAGGGAAGGATACATATGCATATAATACCATAAATATATGTAAAGAGTCATTCAAATAATAATGGGTTAAAACTGTGATTATATTTTACAGGTATAGTCTATGTGTGCTCTATGTTGTTGCTGAGGGAAAGGGCACTTGGTATATCATATTAAAGTACAGGCCAACTCCCTTTAGCCTCAGTAATGGAGGGGACCAATATTGCAGATCCTATCATCTGCGGAGTTATCCGTGCATTTTGTTCCACTTATCCACGGTAAAAATTTGTGGATAATTGCAGTTAATTGGAGGTATGCGCCGCTCAACTCATCCTGTGCGTGAAATGGTTTTCTTGATTTATTGAGGAGACCCCCTCCAGTGTAGAAGATGTTAAATTTTGTTCAATAATTCCATGTTTTTCACTGCTAGGGAACACTCTGTTCCATTGTAATTAATAAAGCTGCTGAGAGTGAGCCTCGCAAGGCAGTGCCAATGGATTGAAGTATGTATGTTGAACTTATTTCGCACCATACATAGCCAGCCACGCTAATCGAAGGTGCGGGGGAAGGACAACAAACTAAACCCAAAACGCAGTTCTGAAGAAAGGAGTTTTCAATCCAGATTTAAAAGTGCATAGCTCCAGTGGCTTTCTAGTATCGGAAGGAAGAGCGTTCCAGATGGCCGCAGAAGCGCATCTGAAAGCACACGATTCAGTGACTAACTTTGTTCGATGGCTTGCCAAAAGCCGCTGCGAGGATGGCCGGTGTTCGTGTGATGGTTTACGTGCCGGCACACGGGCACTCGGGAGCCTCGGTTGTGTCAGCTCTGATGCCGTGCTCCGTATGGCCCGGCTACTCGTTATTTGTTTGTGGAGGCTGAGCATGCCTCGTTCTTGTGTCGTGGTGTTGAACGTGAGTGCTGCGCTGACATGGTAAATGGAGGCGATCGACGCAACTCAAGGACCCCCCCCCCCCTCCCCGCCTGTTTCTCCATCTTGCTCTAAGACGACTCTTGAGAAGCCATCACAGCCTCAGTGATGGCTTCCAGGAGCAGAGCCGTCGGGAGCCGGAGGGTCCATGGAGGCAGGAACGTGTGCGGCTGGATGGCAGGGACTTCACTCCAAAGGAAGAGGCACACAAATTGTTTCATGGAAAAGTGATCTCTGGAGAGACTCCTTCAAAAACAAACTTGAGGATGAGAAACTTTGAGAACAGTTCCTGGTCTGGCAGAAGAATGACGGAGAGTGATTCTCTTCAAAGTAGAACAAGTGGAGGCCAAATCAAGCAAATTTGTTGCGAACCCTTTGAGAGGTGTGGGGCAAGTAGGAGGCATGACACCCAACCACACTCCAAGCTGGCAGTCATGCGTCAACAGTCTCAGCCGATTGCAGATCCTGCCTCAAACTACACGAGTTCTCACTCTACAAGGATCACACCCAGGAGAGACCAGTGGCTGAGAAGAACCACATCTCTCTCAAACGATCTTCCCTCTTGCTCCGACGACGCGTCTGGATTGTGGGCCAATGAGGTGGAATGGCCCAGATTTCGGCCAGCAAGTGCTGAAGGGTCGCCAGCGTTTGTGAAAATTGGTGTTGAACAGGAAGGGGAGGGATGCACGAAGGGGGAATGGGGGGACAGTTCTCCTCTGGATACACGCATCTCCGTGTCCAAGTTGCGCAGGCTGTTTGCGGCCGCGAACGCCCGCGTGACAGACAGCCCGTAGGTTTTCACCGCCTGTAAGCTAGCGGCTCTCTTCTTCTGTCCGCACGGTCCTCAGGCACGTGATGTCTAGTGTCAGCTGCGCTTTGTTCAATTGAGTTGGTGCATAATCTGTCTGCTGCAGAGGCAGCATCGCAGACCCTCGCGTGCCCTGTGTGGACACAAAAAGATAGTCGCCGTTTGTAGTTCCTTTCGTTGTTTGACTGTTGTGTGAGTGTCACTAATTTACTGCATGCACAGTGGGACGTACTTAACATTGCTGTGAACATGAACAATACTTCCAGTCGTAGCCAGAAGAATTGGAGGAATATTGAAATTTCATTTTCAGAGTGATCTACATGAACTCATGCCAGTGCCAAATATATATATATCTCTCACATTATGTCGGTTGTTCAACACAGTAGATGTTAAGATCGTCCCACTGTCACCTAACTATTGATAACATATTTGTTTTTGCACGTGAGCCCACTGCAGCACATCGTTATGTGTGTGTGTTATATTGTGTGCGCACACTGGCACCGCTATTATGGGACCCCCCCACCCACCCACCTAGTTAAGCACAAGCAGTGGCATGTGTGCTTTGTTACTGAAGTTTTTTTTTACTGCTGGTTTTGTCTGGCTCAAGTGGTTTGCAGTGTGCTGCTGTGATACATGTCCACTGAGAATGCTCCCTCTTTCGTTTTAGTCCATGAATGTGTGTTGTTATCCACTGTTTCTTTAAAGTCCCAGTAAATGCACTTATAAGTGGTTTGTACTCACAATAAAGTTGTGTTTGTACAGATTGAGACTGATGACATATTCAGGGCAATTGCTTCGTGAGATCTTGTGCTGTGTCAGCAGTTGATATGGGCTTTGTTATCTCACTGCGCAACTGTCACCGGTCGGGGTCGTGTTTCATGGTTGACATGAATGAAGTCCACATTTCTTGCAAAATAATGCTGCTATTTTGATATCACAATTCCGTGGACCTACATACTGTGCAATGCAGCTATTGGCCGCGTTTTTTCTGTGATGTGGACTGCGATGGCTCCATGCATTGCATTTGACCCCACTGGCCGTCCGCCGTCTTCACTGTTGTCGTTTGCATGCGTTCACATCGTGCGCTCGTGTTGATGTGTGCGCATACATACGTGGTGCTTGGCGTGTTGTCATAGACTTTTGCCGAATGTCACCGTGCTGCTCTGCTAATGTCTTGTCTTGTTGCTGTACCTCGCCCCACTGCCTGCAGTAGTAGTGGCGGTAGCAACGTGGCTCGCTCGCCCCGCTCGCCCCGCGGAGCTGAGAGGAGGAGCTCGGAACGCTTCCGCACGCAGCCAATCACATCTGCCGAGCGGGAGGACAGTGCACGGTACCCAGGACACCCTTGCCTGGAGGGGATGACACTCAAATGTCAACACAGATATATTGAAGAACCTATTGCTGCATTCATAGCCAGATGGAAGAATCATTGTGTCACCATTCCCCCTACATACTCGAAGATCAAAAGCTGTGGATTGACAAAGGGCAATAAATAATTTGTATTACTCAAGATCAAAAGATAAGATGTGATAAAAAATAGTCAAAGTCTGCTAAATCAGCATGCCTGGAAACATCAGTGGCATGCGTGCTCAAGCAAATATAACCGCCAAGCATTTCGGTAAGAATAAAAATGTGTCATAATTTATAGCCCTTTGTCAATCCACTGCTGGATGTAGGCCTCCCCGCCAAACATTCCTCATTAGAAGCAATATCAACTCAGCAATAACATTGGCAACGGCAACATCGTTTTCATCATCAAAATCATATGCAGCAACAGCATTCGTTTTACGTTATCATCAGCACCAATTATCACAATTCTGTCATGTCAACTCGACCCTAAACGCTGCACACTTTTGGCCATTCTGCAATTGTCCGATGAATTGTGGCAGAATACATTGTTTTGTATTTAATGGGTTGTACATGAATTGCCACGTGTGGCATGTTTATGTTTATTTATGGAATCGGCCATCGTGCAAAAGTGGCAGAATGACGGTCCAAAATAGGTACATGAATCGGAGCATACATATGTTCACATAATATCCTGTAAAAAAACAGGTGTATTCATCTTATGCTTGTTTACCCAGGAAAGCCTCCCTGAGTTAGGAGGGTCCTGACAAGGTTTCACAGTAGGGGGCGATTATTGCAATGTACAGTAAATTACACGTGAGTAATATGCAGTTTATTCTTTAAATTTGGACCATGAAGCTGGCACACAATGGCCGATAGTCTTGCGAATAATGCCACTGTGAAGTAGACGGCACGCATTTGCTATGTTAAATACACCCGCAGTAAAAACCAGGACCGCTGCTGGATTCGAACCTTGAACCTCTGCAACCAAGTGGGAAAACGTGCTCCTGCTTGGCCATGTCATCACCAAATATTAATACTCATTGCAAAATAATGATTAAGCCTCCTTGGACTTTGAAAGCATGGTACATGTCACGTGACATTAAACATGATTCATATCACAATTGTTAATAGTAACATTGGAAAATATTCGTACGTTGTTATGAGGTTATTGTGGTTGTTTTGTGGTGAATTTACGGATAAATGCATTTCGGTGTGAGTCGGATCTGAGAAGCAGCAGAGTATAAAATAAGGGCTTGTTTGTTTTTCAGCAGCAGACCTTTCATCGGACTGGATGGGTCAGAAGGTGAGTTTCCAGGAGTTTAGCCTTGCCAGTGAAGTTTTAATATCCACCCATATGTGGACACGTTATGGCCTGTTGTTTGTGCCGATATCACATCTCTGTACGATGGGTGACCGGGCTTTTTCTCGTGTGGCCTCCAGGCTGTGGAATTCACTTCCATTGGACATTCGGTCAGCTGACTCCCTCCGTTTATTCAAATTCCGCCTTAAGACGCAGTTATTTTTAAGGGATTGATTGGTATAAGCCTGCATGGTTCGTTTTGCTTTATACAGGACCTTGTGACCTTCGGGTGAAAGGTGCTTTAGAAGTGTCAATTATTCGCTCACTCGAGAAGAGAGAGAACGACTCAGAGGCGCGAGGAAGCACAGACAAGCAGAAGGCAGCGAGACACTGCAGTCCTTCTATATATTCAGATTTTTTAAAAAGACAATTAATGACTTTATATATAATCTTGGTTCTTTCGGTAAAGTCACGTAGAAGGGAAACAATAAAATAATAAAAATATAAAACAATGAAATTCTCACGATGTTTTGACTGCAACCTGATGTTGATTGCTTGTATTGCAGTCGAAACGTCGTGAGAATTAAATTGTTTTATGTTTTTATTATTTTATTGTTTCCCTTTTACGTGACTTTACCGAAAGAACCAAGAATATGAATCCCTGCAGTCACGAAAGCTTTAAATCTTTATACACGTGCAAGGAAGCAGGAGCACCTGGAGAAACCGCATACAGACCAGATGAATGATGAGATTATCCCACATTTTGCTGTGCTCCCATCTCATGGCAAGCCAGGGTACAGCACCTCGACACCCATGGGAAGGAAGTTTCGCAGCATATTATTAACATAGACAAAATGTCACTGAGGCCATTTAATTATCGATGCTGGGACTGTAATGTATCTTTTTCAGACTCATTCAACTTTTATTTATTTAAGCTTTGGTATGAGAGTTTACTTGGCTGAAGGCCCAGTGTGACCAACTCATCCACACTGTTGACAAAACAGGCCAGAGGTTGTCAATAATAGGGAATGATAGGTATATTGCAAAGGTCTTTATCATTTTTGGCAATGTCTTCACACAATATCAATTACTGCCGATGTAAAATGAGACGGAAGGGCAAATGCTCTTTTGTGTCTATTACAGTTAGTGAAAAAGTCCGTTAAAGTTAGTAAAAATGCTAAACTAAAATAAAATGTTCATTGCACTGATCGCAGCCAATGATGTCTTGCAGGAGAAGAAGATAAGGTGGATGATAAGGCAAAGATGAGTGTCGCTGAAAAAAGGTCACTCTTCAGGGTGAGTGTGAGGGAAATAGATTGCAGCGGATGGTTTAGAGGATGGAGTGGTGATGCTTTCATTTTATTTACGACAGTTTCCAGTCTGGTACATCAATACCCCGATTTACGTCTCCCCTTTTTACGTCGTTTTGCAAATATGTCGTCACCTTATTAATACTACTACCTGATTTGCATCGCCTCAACCCACACTTGTCGTTTACAGCATCATCCTTCCTTTCTCGTATCCGTCGCCACAAACAGCCTTCGCCTCCACCTGCCCTGTGAATTGCTTTGATTGATGTTGTTTCGATATTCGGCGCACCTTTCAGGAACACATCTTGGACGTAAACCGGGGTATTACTGTAATTAAATATGACTCTTCTATTGTCACATCAAAAGTTAAAGGTCACCGGTTTTCAACGTATTATATCGGTGACATCTCTCGAGATATGCGAGACAAATCACGTAATGGTGGTGCTTAATTCCTACTCACCTGTCACCCAACATAATGGATGCTGGCTGTAGTTGAAGTATCAACTGGTCTATTATTACGATTATTACCAATCACTTCTGCCGTCATCACACACATGCGTGTGTCCTGATGGCAGCTATTCCACATGATTAGTTTCAGTTTCATTTATTAGGCATAGCCCTATGAGCCATGAGGCTCTTGAAACCGCAACAAACAAAACATGGACAAAGAACATCTTAAAGTGACAATTCGCAACAGAAACATCCAGGGAAATCCAGTAAAATCTTCCGTAAATAAGCACCGTATATCAACGCTGTGTGCAAAAATCCCAATGGGATGCAAGTCTAACAATAACAACCATAAGACAATTTAGATAAAGTTATCAGGCTAACTCCCGTACTTCAACAAACATGGCTTAACCATACGTTTTCGAAATCACCAAAATAAAGCTATAAAACAATGTAACAGTGACCATAGGAACTGTGATTCATAATGGATGTTGGTTGTAGTCGATGTTGCCAAACTAGCTATAGTTACCACCATGGTTTGGTAAATTTAAGTTGTGTTTAAACCCTCAGAGGGGAAAAGAAACCCCCGTAAATAACAGCTCGCTGCTCTTCTCATGTGCAGGTGTTCAAGGGTGCTGCCATTGTTGACCACGTGATACATCTGCCATGTCACAGCGAAATTTGCAGAAAATTAAAATCTTACACGCGCTTTCCAGGGTCATGCATAATTAAGTATGTAATGTTTACCGATTCACAGTGACATGGGTTACAGGATGACTAAAACCTCGTTGCTTATTGAAGCACTCTTGTAGTTTTTGGCATTACTGAGGCTTGTATGGAGAAGGATGCTAAGTATTTCATGGTGGGATAGCATAGGTAACTTGGAGGTTTGAAATAGGGCATTTCACAAATAGCATAGGGCATTTCACACATTCAGGGAAGATGTTTTCCATGGTGGGTGTGCGTGTATGTATGCGTGGCGATGGAGGGCAGGCTACTTATACAAGCATAGCAATGGTCACCTATAGGTCACACACTGTGTAAGGGCCCACCTTGGGGTCAGCTTTCAAACTTATATAATATTTTTGAGAGCTGGCAGAAGAAGGATGTGGCTGCTATATACGTTGGCATTTTACGTGAAGATTTATTGATTTTGAGAGGTATATTTACGTATGAAAATAAGATTAAGTTGTTCCCTTTCTGGCAATAAAACAGGAGGTGTTAAGATGTTCAAACACCAAATAGAAATCTTTTGCAAGGAATCAAGTTTACTGCATTAACCACACGTACTTGTGGTGAACATCAAACAAACATGCTCCGATAATATATGGCATTGTCTTTGAAACTGATTGGCCTACACCAGAGACAGCCTTCTTTAGGGCCTAGTCCCACCAGTGTCAGACCAGAGAATGCCAAAAGGCGACTAGTACAAGGACAATGGCACTATCAGAGCATTTATCACCTCGGGGGTGAGCAGCTACAAAATGGGACCTTTTAGCCAGTATCAAAGTATGAAAAAATAGGAATAGATTCCTTGGAAAAGTTTTCCATTTGGTGTCTGAACATCTTGTAAGCCATCTGGCTTCCATGAGAGATTCGTTCATGAGGCTATCCACATATACAAGCACAGAGACAATTTCAACTGAGAAGATGGATTCTATCTTAGCAATCATTGGAAAGATTTGATAAATCATTTCAGTTCTTGATTGATTGTTCACGCTTACAGTGGCTTTCAGACAGCATACATAAAAACAAATTTCGTCTCCCCCCTCCTCTTTTCAAAAAATAGATGGACTAGTCCTGGCAAACTGCCAATCGTTGCGCGTGACGCAAACGTTATTTTTTATATAAATAAATAAATATGCCGTTTTCAAAATAAATTTATGCAAACCGACACACCTGATGATGACCGTTTGAGTTATGGTCGAAACGTCGTGATAATTTTTTATTGTTTTATATATATTTTGTTATTTTGTTGTTTCTCTTCAACGTGACTTTACCGAAAAAACTAAGAATATCTTAACACCTGTTTAATTTCCAGAAAGGGTAAAACCTATTCTTATTTTTGTATACTTTGATACTGGCTGAAAGGTCCCATTTTGTAGATATATTTATGCTGAAACCAGTTAGTTTCTTAAAGATTCCCCACAGCATTTGTGTTGGTTTTTTGCCACTGTCCACGCTTTTGAAGTTGAGTAATGGGCTATGACTTACGGTATGCACTAAGAGGATTAAAACATGTTTCAAGACTTCTGTTCTATACATTTGTCAATGGTAAACATTGATCTCAGCAAAATGTGAACTGAAACATTTGTTGTTTATAACGTTGAAAATCTCCTTCCCGTTTTCTGCTGCAGTTATTTAATTTGCTAAAGCGGAAAGGTATTTTAATTCCAGAATTTCCTCTGTGGAGAAATCATAAGAGAACACACGAGTCTCACGTTGACATCAGCAAAGATCAAACTAAATGTGTGCCACAGAAATGGCTCCTGAAACCGATATTTGAGACGCCGATCGTGACAACCTTGCCGCAATGTAGCACAATGATAGAATATCGGTATTGGACAGTTCACTGCGTGTGCTTGCTCTTGCGTACTGGACAGGAGCAGATGGCAGAGGTTGGGTTACAGCAGAAATCTGAGATCTTGTTGCAGGATGCCAGCTTACACGGCCGTGCAGGGTAATCCTACACATGTAATCTCCTTTGCCTAAAATTAGAAGTCTGCCTGAAGCTCTTCGTAGTGCTTCGGCTGTTCACAAAATGTACGAACGTGATAACACGAAAAGTCTCATGCTAAGTAGTCATCTTATGATTTTTAGAAACCAGTGGACGAAAGATTGCCACGTGAGTTGTTGGAGATCCCTGCGGCTTGTGTTACCATTGCCATTATTTTTAGTGGGCTGCATAGAAATGCGTCCGCCATATTTGCCTTAGGGCAGCGGTTTTATTTTCTGCCGCCACCAACGTTTGAGAGAGCGCTGCACACCACAAGCACACTCGCTCGCCTTTCACTGCCATTACAGCTTTACGGCAAGCTCTGTCAGAGTCTTGTGTAACTGAAAAAAAAAACACGATGGTAGTGAATGACATGACGATGAGCATCCTCCTATACTTGCGCAGTTTTATTGTAAATTGATATTCTTGTTCAGGAAGATTATGGATAGAAAAAACCACTCTGTTTCATTGGTGTGTTATCATTCTCGATTATCTCCAAGTGTGGTAGTACTTTGAGCAAAATTATTGGGATGTATTTCTGACAAAAAAAGTCAAAATGTTCACCTCCGTTTCTCCCTCTGTCGTGCACAGGAGCTGGAGAGGACATCTGTGGAGCTGGGTGCTTCACCCAGCGGCAAGCCACGTAGCCGCAACGCGGCCGTGGAGAGACGGCTGCGAAGAAATCAGGAGCGTTCTCGCACCCAGCCCGTTGACTACAACCCCGTCAGCAGGTGCAGGCATGGCACACTCCACACGCACAGTACAGCCTGTACATATCACACTCTATATCCAGCCCACACACAGTACGCACACGCTGTACACACTAAAAGCAGCATCTTAACACTTTACATCCAAACAGCATTCTCACATTCACTCTACTGAGCCTGCAAACACTCCAAACGCGATACACCTAGCTTACATATAATACATACACACATACTTCACCTAACTTTCCAAAAATCCATCCTCCCCATTGCATCCATCGTAAACACCCTATACACATTAACACCACATCCAGTCTGTACAACCCCTGTACACCAAATTCTATACACACTGAGTGAAGTCTGGACACATGCCACACACACTACAACGAAAATAACATGCGCTTGCCACACGTGTCGTACACAAATTTCCCAAACAACGAACATGGCTTGTTCGTATTTTCCAATGTGTGCTGCTTAAAATTTTCAGTTTTTGTTATTGTGTTCTGTTCGACATCTTTTCACACTGTGCATGTTGTTTTTGTGTTTGTACCCCATGTCTCCCTTGCAAAAGATACTCTTTTGAATGGCCTATCACCTGGTTACAAAGGTCAATAATATATTGGTTGATGAAACATGCACAAAATATGCCTAACATACACTTAATCCTTGCTTAATACTATTGATGATTGCGTTGTAAAATCTACTTTTTTACTGAAACTTCTTGTAATTACATTAATTTTTAAAAATGGTTTCAGTATAAAACTGTTGTTTATAGCCACAAAAGCTAGTTATTATTATGGATTGTGGCATTAACATACGGAGTTTATACGTGTGAAGCAATTTTTTTGTGGTAAACCTGTACAATATGGAACGAGGCGTGTATTTTAGTCTCCATTTGCACGGTGGATAATAATGGATGTCTTTAAAACCGTACTTTATTAGCCAGCGACCCTCTGTACATGCCTGCTTACTGAGTGAGTGACCGCTCTTGCATTGTGTCAGGCTCGCAGGGTTATCAGTTACCGCCGTGGATAGAGCTTGTCAGTCTGGGGCAGTTGCCTGTATTGATGCAGCCAGTCTGGAGTGGCATCATGTCCAGGCTTTACCTTTGCTTGAGGCTAGGCTATCGAGGGCCCACGCAAGTATTTCTGGGTTGAAATTGTGTAACAAGAAAACCATGCATTGCTATCCTATTATAAGACGGAAATCATTCTAAATAATGGCATGTATTGCTGCAGTTTGGCATATGGCAGAGGACCTATGGTTGATAAACTACATTTATAGGGAATATAATTATAGGCTCCAATACAATTGAGGACAGGTGTCTTTCATGGCAAGATAGAATAAGCAATGCAGAAGTCCAGAAGAAAACGTGACAGGTAAGTTTTGTAGATGTGATCTGGCATAAAAAGGTTGGGCAGGACGTGTGTGAAGGACAGACGGGGGGCTGATTGGCGATACAGCCATTGCAGTGGTCTCCACGAGTTTGGCGACCAAGGGGGAAGACCTTAAGATCAAAAGGTGGGAGACTGTGAGGGCGGATCTTAGAGGTCACTGCGTGTTGACTGTTCAGCAGGTACAGAATCTGTCAATGGGTAGAAAGCATCGGCGAGGTGAGGTGGTGGCATCAACGGCTTTGGCCACGATGAGATCTTGTCAATAATTACGTCAGTTTAAATGGCAGCGGCAAGTGCAATTACATTTTTTTAAAATGACAGTGGCAATTTAGCGATCAAATTTATGCAATTATTTAACATATAAACAAGGTCTGCTTTTAAACAAGCTTAGTGCTATGTAATGGAGACAACCAGGGTCAGGATATCCTAATAAAGGATTAGCTCTTGGTGTCAATTTACCTTGATGCTATGCCCTCTTGCACTCCACCATTCTCTCTGTGATAGCAGCTCATTGCAAAGCCAAACATAGCTCACATTTGATGCCAGGCACTAAGGCCTGGCAGCAGCCATTGCTCTCCCTTTTGCAACATATGTACATTTGTACATTTGCATTCTGGCCATCAGGTGCTTTTCTTTGAAATGTCCACTCTCTACTTTTAACAAAATGGGGACATTAAATCTGCATATGTGCATTGCGTATTCCTCAAGAGCACAAATTACACACTCTGATGTCTTCTCATCCACCTTCCTTTCCACACTCGTGCTATTGCCTGCCCTTGACAGCACACACGGATGCTAAAATTAGGTGAGGGAAAATCATGACTGTAAATGGATTAATCTGCTGAGCTAAAGTTATGCGACCTCTCAACATTTAGGGTTTGGCTTCTCTGAGAAAAATAAAAGAGGTTTGAAATTTGACCTCTTTAAATGCGAATACATGGTCATGCAAAGGATTTAGTTGAACATGAAACTTGCCACCAAAACACTGACCTAAATTCCATAAATTATACAAATTATTTTGGTGATGCTGTGTTGTTAGTGGTGCACAAGCACATTGACAAATGTGATATTTATTTTGGGTAACTTTCCATAGATAATGGTTTTCCCTTTCATTAACCGGCGAACGAAAATAACCGCCACTCAAACAGCAGCAATTGTGCTAATGCCTCTTCACTGAACTTTCTTTCCGATCATGTTAATGTAATTATCGCAATTTTTTTACACTACTTAATTGTCCCCTTATTTTTCATGTCAAAACCAACAACCCTGGGCAGCAGCGATCCTCCCTCCCACATTCACTGCTTAATTTGAATTGTCCCCTATCTCATGTTGAGTGCTTTTCTCTTGGCTGTCAATTTGTTTTAACATGTATAGCTGATCCCACTGTTATTTTTTAGCCAAGTTATTTTTAACATAGACTTTGGATGTTTAGTGGCCTGTCATGTTCTCACGAAGATAAAACATTTGAGTAGCGGAATCAATAACATTTTTTTATCGTGCATTGCACATTGAGCCAGTTATCTTAAAATATGTATCTCTTTATTCCTAGTATGCAACATATTGGCACCGAAAATGTGGTAATTGCAGGAAAGTTGATTGAAAGCCCTCTAAATTACAGCTTGTGTTCTTCTAACAGACATCGTCAATCGTTGTGCAAACTTGTTGTCTGTGACTTGAGTTTTACTCAGCTGTGCTGTATTCCTTATTCACTTTCTGGGCAATCGTATATAGGTTTTATTACAGTTCCAATAATGTTAATGATGACGTCCCCAAATGTGGTTTGTATGGCTATTCCATATCACTTGACGAATAAAAGTGTTACAAGCCTTTTAATTGGTTCGTTGAATAACTTCTGACTCCCGCACTGTATGTTGTCTTGTTTTTTTTTTCTTTAACACGTTGAGGCATTTGCAAAACATTATCAGATGGCTTCATGAGCAACAGCTTCCATTCGTAGTTGATTGATCAAACACCAACAGCTCACATCAACTGCAGCAATTTCCTTCATCACAGAAGCTTTTGTCAACATGTCTTATCAGTTGCCTGCTTTCCCAACAGCTGCTCTTATCTTAAAGGCGACACTGTCAACATGAGCAGATTGTATACGCACTTGCAGCTCGGACTCAGTTTGAACTAAAATTTGTCCTAAATTTAAAGTTATTTTAATTAATCTTTCATGTGGAACATTACTCGTTTTCAAGGGTGTCCATGACATCTGTTGAAATAATATAGCAAACATTTGATGACACGGTAGACAAACATTTAAAGTCTATAACTTACACCGACTCTATTTATACAAAGAAGATAACACCCAGACAAACATGTAAGTAAATATATAAATAATTAGGCGGTGCTCGACATCGGTTCATGGAGAATGTACTCTGCCTGTAACAATGACATGTTGTGCAAATGTGGTGGAAGTAAATATTTGAATAAGTCGAGACTGGCGGCATGTTTTCAAGTGTCCGAGAGGTCGTTCCATGTTGAAGCAGCTGTGCATCTCATTTAATAATAAAAGTAAAATAATATATTTAATCATTAACTGAATTTCCCCCCCCCATCCCAATAATGACCACAAGAGGGCACTTGTGAATCCTAAAGTCTGACCCCTCACCAATAATCAACCTGAGGCCACTTACCCCACATGTCCTTCTCTCTCAAGGCACTGCACCAAGAGCAGCCACTAGAAGGGGTTTCACTCTTCATCCACAAAATGTATGCGAATACATTATCCTCTGAAACATTTACTTGTTCTACAGTAGCATCATCACTCGGCTGTTGTGTATTCATTATGCCACACTTGGTATTTCACTTCACAGACGCGATTATAACTATTCACGCAACAGTTTGACAGCCAATCTCGTTTCCCTCTGTTTTGGTGACCGCAGAAATGATGTTTCCACCATGATGGAGGGAGTAGATGGAGAGGACGACACATCCCGGCTGAGTTTGGTGCAGAAGATGGCTCTCTTTAACCAGCCGTCCAAGCCGTTGCAGCCACAACTCTTCTCGCGGCAGGAACCCGAAGTGTCCAACCGTCGCACCAACCTCCGTTACCAGACACAGCCAATCACAGCCAGAGAGGTGCAACAGGTGAGATCAGACAGCAATTTTGTTCGTAAGCAAAAATGGGGAAACGATGAGGAGGGGACAGCCCCCAGGGTCTGGAATGCTATTGCCAATAAACTGCAACTTGAATCGCTACCAATGAGATCTTCAGTCAAAACTGCTCTAGAGGAGTTGTACACCCCTAGTTGCCACTGCTATTTAGTTCCTAAAATAAAATGTTTCTCTCTGGATGACCGCTGCAAAGTATGATCTTGTGTTTTGATTTCGTGTGCTAATCTTTAAAGGTATTTGTTTCACCTGATGACGGTTGCTTGTGTTGCGATCGAAACGTCGTGATCTATTAATTTGCTACCTACGTGACTTTACTGAAAGAACCAAAGAGTATGGATTCCGGCAGTCACGAAAGCTTCAAATCATCATTGTCATGGTCATCAATAATAATGATTACCATCAATATTATAATACACACTTTATGAGAATTTACACATTTTATGAGAATTTAAACACACGTCACTGGCTGTTTTTCCATCTTCCTTTCTTACTTGAAATTCAAAATTTTGTGAAACTCTCTTCCTGTGGGCATCGATGTGCCCCACCATGGCTTGCCAGCAGAATGCAGGACAGCAGAGTGTGGACAAATATCATCTGCCCCTTCTGTATGGGATAGATTGTTGCTCCGTCACACCTGTTGGTTTTCTCTGGCTGCTTTTCCCCCACATGTATACACACTCACTAATTGGCCGCAAACATCTTAATATATAGAGAACTGCAGAGCAATTGATGGTGCCAGCTCACCGGCTGGCAGCCTTGCAGCTTGTCTGTGCTTTCTCAGCAATTTCGAGATGCAATTTACATGAATGACGATATATAAAACTTATCAGATTTTTTATATTTTAGTTACTGTGGATAAGAGTAGATTTACTTTATAGAGTATATGCCAGATTAGATTCTGTATGTCCCACCCAAACTGCAGGTGGGTGCCTTCCTATTTGAATTCCCTCGCATCATCTCTTTTCCCACATTCTTATTATTAATTACAACTTTAATAGTGCTGCTGTTGTTGGCTTCTTGGCATATTTTTAGACTGTGGGCCTGTGCTCAGCAACAATGATCATAATAAATAAATAGAAACCTGTGCATATTTTGTGTGCAGTTACAGATACTGTTTGTACCGTGGTGCAGTGAACAGCCGCTGCTTGTGCATGCCGTTTTGAGGTGCGGCGCTTCTACTGTGCGTGCTGTTGCAGCGGTTCCCCGCGTAGCTGTCAGTGTTCCTTCATAGCGCAAAGTTACATGATGGAAAGCCGCTGTTTTAATCGCGCATCGATCGCCCTACGTCTTAGGGCTTATCGCAGCGGAAGCTGGAAGAAGCTGGTGGCCATGACGAGAGGAGGCCTGGCGTGGCCGCCGCCACCGATCACCATGGGAGCCGTCGTCTAGGCGAGCACGACGGCTCACTCAGCCTGGGGAAGCCTCCTTTGGACAGTGTTGGTGCCGCCAGGACCCGGCCCCCACTCGGTCGACCAGTGCCCCTCGCCAGTGAGTTAATGCCCACCTTGTCATGACCCACACAACATCTGTACGATTAATTCCTTCTCGCCGTAACCAGGGGGAGGCAAATTCGAGGATTAAGCCAAGTTTTATGCAGATTTTCTAAAGTTGCCCTCGGATGATCCATGAGCCATGTTGTGTTTATCTTGTTTTAGAATGGGATTACTCAATAAATATATTTATTTACCAAATATGAAATAATTACCAGCTTTAATATCCGGGGTGCATGGAAATGCACTTGGCTATTTAGATGAATACTGAATACGTGTACATATTTAGCAAATCCAAATTGAAAGCAGAATAGTATTTTTTCACATCTGTCTCCATCTTAGGTTTAGCCAGACTGGATTGTGTGAGAAATTCACAGATCCGTGAAAGATCTGGACACAGTCCCATCAGTGAGCTCCTCTAACAAGCGAGGCTGTGCTGGTCATTTCGCCCACATGCCCAGCCACCGCATGCCCATGCAGCTTCTGTCTGGCCAGATAGATGGGGCTCAACGTACGTGGAACAGGCTAGAGAAGAGATGGACTGATGTGGTACAGAAGGATCTGGGGTTGATTGGACTTGCCAATGACTGGCCTCTGTGGAGGAGCTTCCTAAAGAACACTGCTGGGGAGTTGGCAGTTACTCTCCAGAAACAATGAAGGGCAGAGGAGCGACTAACATAACAACGAGCGGACCGCCGAGTGGCAAAAACGCAGAGATTTGGCAATGGGGAGCACAGTTGGTACATCTACCATTCATATCAGTCAGTCAACCCATGGCACCTGGGTCTGTTCTGTGACCTCCTGCCAGCGAGCCTTCAACACTTCACATGGCCTCAAAGTGCACCTAGCATGGCACAAGTGCCGTGGTGACATCCCTTACACTTCATGGTGAACGGTGGTTGTTATAGTACAGCCACATTTCCAAAATATGGGATTAGGCCCTGGTTGGTCAGCCCTGTCTCATGCTGTTGTGTAGTTAATGTATAATCTTCTTGCTGCACTCTGGACTTGGAATGTGCTGCATTGTGAGGCGCTAACACAGGCTCTGGCTATTTAATCGGGCAAAATAGCCCACAACTCATTCAGAATTGAGCGGAATGGTCATTCTCCTTTTAACTCTAGAACCATAAGGATGAACCCAATCTAGATTATTGTTGTTACGCTTGTTCACCCGGGCCAGCCTCGGTGCTGTGTGCATGGCCGTGATGCCGTGGTGCCGTACGTGCCGCTGCCAAGACGGCGCCAAAAGTGCCACTGAAGCTCGCGTTGAACAGAAACGTGTGTGCTGTTGTGGAGGATTATGGGTAAATAAATAAACTCGTATATCTAACAGTCAGTCACTGCACATAAGAATACAATTTTTTTTGTTACCCACAATCTTCTACGAAAAGCATGAGTGTAATGTGTTTTACAGAACACTTTTGCACTTAAACGTCCTGTGGCTCGTTACGAAGAGCTTGTTAATTCAATGAGCATGGTCAGCTATATAGTATGGGATTGGCTCTGCTCTTTCTTTTGCCAGGATGCCATGTGAAATGAACACACTCTCAGCGAATGTTTTTGAAATCCCATGTTGAAGTTCCTTAATTATATTACTTTAATAAGCAGGAGTGATTTAGTCTACCAATGCTATTTATGTATTCCAGAGAATAGTGTAAACTTAGTGGTTTAATGTGTTGTATTTTTTTTTGTAGAAAATGGATAGGCCTGATTGATCAAGTGGTGTAAAATTAAATTTTTCTAAGTTTGTATAGAAAGAAATGACTCCAATATTTGCAGAAAATATCATTCATTGTCTTGGCTGGTCTTCTGCCAAATAATGGCAGAAATTGCCTTTCAGTAAATACATGTAGCAGTTCTTGTGTTTCATAATACATATCTGTAAGGAAATACCATAACTGTTCCAATTTAAATAATACATTTTTTTATTTTAAAAAACAAGAATCAAAATTCCTATTGTAAATGTGCTAGGCTGGGTGGCCGCTGTGATTACTGGCTGGGTTGCGCATTCAGCTCAAAGATGGATGCAGAGTTTTTTTCCATCAGCCCTTTCTTTGTGCAGTTGTTATGGAGACCCTTTTGTGAGGCAGCTACATGTGTGCGGAAAAGCAGGGGAAAAATATTTTACCACTTGAGAGAGAAGGCTGTGCTTGTGTGCACACTGCCAGCTCTTGGCAAGGGCGGATGGCATGCGAGAGATATATTAGGTTTCATGTCGGCAATCGTTGGCGACGTCAGTCACCGTCAAGATCCCTGAGGCTCTTACTTCTGCATCATCTTTAGGCGTTAACTCTTTCGGATGCTATTTTAAAATAGGCCACGAGCCTTAACTCGATACGACTGTTATTGCATTAACACCAGAATTTTATAATGAGTAAGTTATAGAGGACGTGTACGAGTGCATATATGTTTGCTTGAATATATACCTGTATAAATCCGTGCATGCTTACATTCATAGCACGTGAAACACAAGTCTCAATCTAAATAATTGTTTTGAAGGTATGTTAGCATTCCATAATGTTAACGTGTGCGTAGAGCTCACGCTCGCTCACGCAGCATGTCATTTGATTTATATCAGCTCTGCAAATTTCATATTTTGGCACGAGTGACATGTGACACACTCTTTGACAGGACACATATGATACGCTTCTAATGTGGATAATTAGGCTTACTGAAGCAGCCTGAAGTAGGTTTGTGATGTAATTTCACAGAACTCTTCTCTGACACTTGGCAGTGCCACAACCTTTTTACAACGGTTCCGAAAGGAAATTCTGTCACCTCTTGACCTGGGACCACCAAAAGGGCAATTACTAATATAACGAGCCAATAATGTGTACTCATACTTTTTGGTTCTTTCGGTAAAATCACGTAGGTATAAAATAATACATTAAATCACGACGTTTCGATCGCAACACAAGCGACCATCATCAGGTGGAACAGATACAGCAGGAGAACTGCTGAGCAGACAGCAGTTCTTCTGCTGTATCTGTTCCACCTGCTGAGCAGTCAGCAGTTCTCCTGCTGTATCTGTTCCACCTGCTGAGCAGTCAGCAGTTCTCCTGCTGTATCTGTTCTACCTGCTGAGCAGTCAGCAGTTCTCCTGCTGTATCTGTTCCACCTGCTGAGCAGTCAGTAGTTCTTCTGCTGTATCTGTTCCACCTGCTGAGCAGTCAGCAGTTCTTCTGCTGTATCTGTTCTACCTGCTGAGCAGTCAGCAGTTCTCCTGCTGTATCTGTTCCACCTGCTGAGCAGTCAGTAGTTCTTCTGCTGTATCTGTTCCACCTGCTGAGCAGTCAGCAGTTCTTCTGCTGTATCTGTTCTACCTGCTGAGCAGTCAGCAGTTCTCCTGCTGTATCTGTTCCACCTGCTGAGCAGTCAGCAGTTCTCCTACTGTATCTGTTCCACCTGATGACGGTCGCTTGTGTTGCGATCGAAACGCAAAGTCGCTTCAAATATGACGTTTCTTTACAGAAAGTGACGGTAAAAAATAAATATACGCAGTACAGTGCTACATCCGTACGTGACGTCACTGCAAAAGAGCCCCCCACGCTTTATTAATATTCAATTTACACTAACGCACAAGAAGGTCGCGCACTCCACATGCCGCACCCCTCCCCTCATTAATAATCATGAGCGGGTCACGCACTCCACATGGGGCAACCCCCCTCATTTATAATCATGAGCTGAACAATTTTTCTATTGAATATTTCAGATTTACTGCAATATACACCCGTCCTTGGACGGGCAAAAAGCTAGTTAAAATATATATTCTTGGTTATTTCGGTAAAGTCACGTAGAAGGGAAACAATCAAATAATAAAAATTTAAAACAATAAAATTATCACGACGTTTCGACTGCAACACAAGCAATCATCATCAGGTGTGAAAACACAACAAGAAAATTTGAAAAAAGTGGCGGTTTTTTAACGTTAGCACCGTGGTGCTAACGTGGCGGTTTTTTCAAATTTTCTGGTTGCGTTTTCACACCTGATGATGATTGCTTGTGTTGCTGTCGAAACGTTGTGAGAATTTTATTGTTTTATATTTTTATTATTTTATTGTTTCCCTTCTACGTGACTTTACCGAAAGAACCAACAATATGAATCCCTGCAGTCATGAAAGCTTTAAATCAAAATTTAGTTAAAAATATAGTTGAGATTTTTTTAAAAAAATACCTATTATTGAATGGCCTAGTGATGCTTTTATAAGTAGGTATATGGTCTCAGCATGTTGAGAATGAAGAGCCTTTGATCAGTACTTTTGGTACATCCTTCGTATTTAGAATAATGTTTATAGCAGGCAACCTCTGGAAATGGGCTTGGCCTGTGCATATCATTCCTCTCATGCTGCTTTTTTTAAGTTGTAAAATGGAAGAAATTGAATTAACATTGTTGCCAATATGTGGTTCAAGAGCATTTTATTTGAAAGGAATCCCACGCTGTGGAACAAGTTTCTCATTGGAAAATATTTTTAAACCCAAATAATTGTAACAAAATGGATGCTCTACAAATGGCTGATATTTCTCGTACAGGTGGTGAGTCAGAGGGTACTCCTGCTCTCTCCATGGTAACGCGGAACACATCGACATCGCCATGGCGACGATCTCCATCATTAGGCAGCGGCGAATGGACGCCTGGCATGGAGAGGAGCGGGGAGCTCAGGTGCGCGAAGGGCGCGAGCCCACCGTCACGTGAGGGCGTGCGTGCCGACCGAGCCAGGTACAGCCACCGCCACTCCACACAAGTTCACGCAACAGCATCCACTGGCCTGGCTGACAACTTCGAGTATATTTTTACACCATTGTTACACGGTTAACTAATTGCAACCATCTCTTATCACAAGGCAATAACACAGCTGGATGAATACAGCATGTCTTCATAACAGGGCACGAGTGAGACTGGCTAATTATGGACTGCCCACTTCATGCCATTGGTTTTCTGTATAACATGAAACTTGTGAGTCTGGCTGTGTGCCACTGTTCAAATAACAGTTAGGTGATGCGACTCACGGTTGCCTGTTCACTTCAGATGGGCGATTCTCGTGGTTCTTAGATTAGAATTGCGATTCGAATTATTTACGATTGAATGCAATTTCCTAATGGGATTGAATGGAAGGAAATATTCGGTTATAGGCATAAAAGAAGATGCATCACTTATTATGGGCATTATTAGAAGATAACTCGCATAAAACAAAAACAACGGTGCGCAGCATATGGTCATTGTGTCGCCAGCATTGCCAAGTGATGTGGGTTTCCTGTGCTCGGTAAAATCTTTGTATTTTGGATGAATATGTACAAGGCGCTCATGTAATACATTCATTTCAATACAATTAACGTGCACAAGAGCAAAGAAATGTAAATGCGAGTATGTGAGTGTATTGTGAATTAAGCCCATGTTATTTCATGTTGTAATTTTCAATCACCCTTAACATGGATGGCATGTTTCTACATCCGTGCATTCTTCTTGTACATCGGATAGTGTAGCAACTACAAGTAGCCCGTCTAGCTGAAATCACATTGCATATTTGAAGGTATAATTTGAAACTGTTGCTCTACCCAGTTCTGTGCTTTGTTTTGAATCATATTTACATTATAGCGCTGTGCAGAGGCACGGTAAAGTGTTACACTATTCATGAATGCAATGTTGTAATCGTGATTTTACTCCGGCGCTGTGATATATACACAGCACAGCTGTACACATTTGGAGAGGTGTGTGCCATGCATTCCTAATGCATGGTTCTTCCTTACCACCACCACCACCTCCACAGTGTGCGAATACATAGCAGGCGCGAAATGGTTTGTGGGCATAGGAATACTGTAGAAGTGTGAATATATGAACACTGCACACAGTGTAGAGGGCACTGCACTACCACCACTACTGCACATCACACTGTTATAGTCACTGTCTGCGTGTGTGCGTGCAAAGCACAGCGAAAACATTGCACCAGTGCACTTTTACTACTGGGTAGGGCACGCTAAGTGCAGAGGGATTGAATAATGTACCGAGTCAGCTGTAGTCTAAGAGCTGCGGTTTTATATGCGTCAGAGCAATGAGGTGACTCATATTTATTTGTGGTCACGATCCAGTTATGGGAATTCTGGATTTCTTCAGCAGGGGCCAGTCTCTGCAGATGATGGCCGCTGATAAATTCCCACAACATAGAATTTCAATCCTTGAGGGTGATGGCTAAGTTGATTCCCAACTGAGATTTGAACTCGCAGCCTTTTAATTATGACTCTTACGTTGTAACCGTGGTATAGCCAGGACAGATGTGCTCCTGTGAGATGGTGAGAAAAGTACTTGTGCCATTTTGTGTTTATTTATCTTGAAGATGTTGGGGAACAGCATGAATTGTTAGTCCTGTTGAGCTACACGTGGAAAATAACCAATTCCTAATATTCGGGATGCATGCTTCCAAAAGCGCGGTGGAGCCAGGCCGAGTTGTTTTCCCATGAACCTCGTGGGCTCGCTCCCTCTGGTTGCATGCCCCTCGCCCCTTTCTCCGAATGCCCACCCCTTTTCTCCCCCTCCTCCCCAGCAGCCTAATTTGTGACCCTGGGAGAGCACTCCCCCTCTGGACAGGAGCCTAAGGGGAGGTCATGGCTGGTGGTCAGGAAGGCATGCTCACACAACTTCGTTTAGACAGGGTTTTGTGTCATCCAGGGGTGACGATACATTGTTATAAGTTATACTCGTTAGTACATTCTACCATGTGGTCTCAGTAGGGTGAGCGACATCACGGTGTAGGCATCGTGTTGCCGTGGTGACCTTGTAACATCACGGCTGGTTCTGCAGTTGATGTGTGTGAGCATGCTGGAGCTCTACTGCAAGGGTGCCCCCAGTGCACGGTTCTGGCTCACGCACACGATCATGGGTCTGCTTTCAAAAAATGGGTACACACCAGCATGGCTTTGTCCTAGAAACAATCCAGGTTCTGCACCCATCTCACATGCTGTTGAAATGAGGCATGAATTGGCCAGAGATTTAGAGGAATATGTCAACAAAATTTATTTTTCCAGAGTTTTTGTTCCTAAACCATGCTTCTGAATACAATCAACAACAGACGAAATGAGGGCCACTCCAATACACTTATGAGAGACATAAAAACACACTTATAAGGGATACCCCAAGGTTAATGCATCCCACATTGTTCTCAATTAATTTCTGTTGAACTTATATGAAACTTTAGACATGCATCCTTGGGGAATCCATTTAACCTTTAAAAAATGTATAGTTTCTCTTCACTTGCCTCAATGTGGAACCATGGATGGCATTCCAAAGCAATAAACAATGCATTAGCCTTTCGCAACCATTTGCAAATAGCGTCTTAAAAAGCAATGTAAATTTCAAAATTGTTTCTACACAAGCCATCCTTCAAAGGACCAAACTGATGAAGATATGAGGGCACCAGATTTGGGCTGTATGCTGGATTGAGGGGGCAACACAGTCCAACCGAACTGTGCGGTGGCCTCTGACCTTCTCAGGCCAGTGGTGTTCATTGCCACATGAAGGAGGGCTTTTGCTATCTGACAAATACGAATAACATTCATGACATTCCTATGAATTTATATTTCAAAAAATGAATAAGGGGGCATTACTCTAGTTCAGTGGTTCTTAACCTGGGTTCGATCGAACCCCAGGGGTTCGGTGAGTCGATCTCAGGGGTTCGGCAGAGCCCCCGCCACGGAGGTCCGGACACACTTGAATTATTGTGTAAATTTGTGATGACACACACGGCCCGCTTGGCCATCACTGGCTGCAGATGATCATGCTACACTGCTTGGCCAATCAGCGCTGCGGGGAATTTAGTGCGTACTCAGTAGTCAACGTGTGACTGTTGTTGTCGTACGTCGTGTGATTTCTTTAATATTTTATCCATACTAACTATGTCGGGCAAAAGAAGAAAGTGGTCGGACGAATATGTACAACATGGATTCTCATGTATCACGGAACGTGATGGGAGTGAGCGTCCTATCTGCATGATTTGCAACGCCAAGTTGAGCAACTCTAGTTTTGCACCGGCAAAACTAAAGGAACACTTCTTGAAGCTGCATGGAGACGGGGAATACAAGAACACAACACTTGCTGAATTCAGGGTGAAGAGAGCCAGATTCGATGAAAGGGCCACTCTGCCTGCTCTTGGATTTGTACCTGTTAACAAACCGATCCTGACAGCATCGTACGAAGTTGCTTACCTGATCGCAAAGCAGGGCAAGCCACACACCATTGGTGAAACACTTGTGAAACCAGCTGCATTAAAGATGGCGAATCTGATACTCGGAACAGCGGCCGAAGGTAAATTATCCCAAATTTCCCTTTCAAATGACACCGTCAGTGACAGAATAGAAGACATGAGTAAAGACATCTTGGCTCAAGTAGTCGCGGATCTGATTTCAAGCCCGGCAAAATTCAGCCTTCAACTCGACGAAACCACAGACGTTTCTGATCTAAGCCAGCTTGCTGTTTTTGTACGCTATGTGAAAGACGACATGATAAAAGAAGAGTTTTTATTTTGTAAGCCTCTTACAACAACAACGAAGGCAGCCGATGTGAAGAAGCTTGTGGATGACTTCTTCAGAGACAACAATCTTTCATGGGATATGGTTTCTGCAGTTTGTACGGACGGAGCTCCAGTCATGCTGGGAAGAAAGTCTGGTTTTGGTGCGCTAGTAAAGGCCGATGCACCACACATCATTGTGACGCATTGTATTCTGCACAGGCATGCGTTGGCAACAAAAACCTTACCTCCAAAAATGACAGAAGTATTAAAAACTGTGGTGGAATGTGTGAACTATGTGCGAAAAAGTGCTCTGAGGCACCGCATCTTCAGTGAGCTGTGTAAAGAAATGGGCTCTGAATTTTAGGTACTTCTGCTCCATTCTAATATTCGGTGGTTATCCCGGGGACAGGTGCTGAATCGTGTTTTTGCCATGCGTGTGGAATTAGCCCTGTTTTTGCAAGAGCACCAACACTGCCATGCAGATTGCTTCAAAAATCCTGAGTTCATTCTCATTTTAGCGTACATGGCTGATATATTCGCAGCTCTCAATCATCTCAATCAGCAGATGCAGGGTGGTGGAGTCAATATCATGGAAGCGGAAGAACACCTGAAGGCTTTTCAAAAAAAGCTACCGTTATGGAAACGACGAACAGAGAACAATAACTTCGCAAACTTACGCTTCTGGACGACTGTGCAAGTAAGATCGAAGATGTGTCTGGAATCGGAGATATTTCTGTATCCACGGAACTGAAGCAAACAATTGCCACGCACTTAGATGAGCTTGCAAAGTCTCTCGACGGATATTTCCCTACAAGAGAGTCATATCCAGCATGGGTGAGACAGCCGTTCACGTTTGCTGTTGAAACAGCAGATGTCAATGATGAATTCCTCGACGAAATCATTGAAATTCAGCAGAGCCAGGTTCAACAGCAACTCTTCAGAACAACAACGCTCTCAACGTTTTGGTGTCGACAAATGAACAAGTATCCAGTTATTGCTAAGAAAGCCCTGGATTTTTTTACAACATATCTTTGTGAGCAATCCTTTTCGAGGATGCTGGACATAAAAACGAAGAAAAGGAACAGACTTTGCTGTGAAAATGACATGAGAGTGGCACTTGCCAAGGTGAAGCCACGCATATCTGAACTGATCTCTCAAAGGCAACAGCAGAAGTCACATTGATTTCCAGGTATGTAATTTGTTGTGAGTTTATGCATTG